TGGGCGCTTCCGCGATTGTCACATCGCAGGATGTGTGATGTTTAGTATACTGATCGTTATATTTATACTGATCGCTTTCGCGACACCTGCTGCGTCTCGCTGCGCCGCCCCACGCTGTCTACACTGGACGCGACAAAGTGACCGTTGCAAATCCTTTGAACTTTGTGTCAGTACATCATAAAAAGAATGAGGGATTTACTCTCGGGGATTTGTCATGCTGCACCGCGCTGCATCCAGCGTAGACAAAGCTGATTATAATGGGTTCTATTGTATTTTGTTGCATCTGGTGTAGACACGGGGTGAGTCTTCAGGTGTTTTCGACTTTTCATTATTGCTTCAATGCAAAGGTAACCAGCACGCCGGTCATGCTGTTATTTGTTGTGTAGTGACGGGTATAGGGCTGGACTTAAAATTCGGCAACATGTTTGTATATTAGTTTGAAGATTGAATGTAAAATGATTGCAATATAAAAGTATATTTAAAAACTTTAATGTTAGGTGGGATTAATCGCGATTAATTTCAGCACAATGGCTTCAAACTGTGATTCAACTGGCATTCAAACACAGAAACCAAAACTAATCACTCACACATGCATTTATGTGTATTTCTGAATGTTTCTGGGAGATATCAGGGCATTTCGAAGAAATTTAGTTCTCAGCTTCTTAGAAATTTGAAGCTGAGAACTAAATTTCTTCGAAATGCCCTGATATCTCCCAGAAAAATTCAGAAATAACTTCATACTTTATTACTTATTGACATGATATTAACTTGAGGCAATATTCACAGGCTGAGCTGGTGCAGACATTTGTTGGCAAGGTCTGTATTTCTCTTGGATAGTTTCTCTATGTCAGGCTCATAATTTGCCAGAAAATCAAAAGGGAAAAAAATAAGAAATTATATTTTGGTCAAAGAAAATGAAGCTTATTTTAAGATTATTAAGATTTTTTTTGTAATGTGGCTTTATTTTCACAGTGTCACATTTACCCCACAAATTTGCATTACTGTAATTGTTAAAAAAAGTAATTAAATGAACCTGTCTGGACACAACATTGCCATGAGGTAAATTTGCACTAATATTAATAATATAAAATAAATAATTG